TGTTCAGCAACATTTGCCTCAATTCCTCCCTTTGTTCAGCCAACATGGTCTGAATCATAGTTCGTACTCCAGCCATGGTGATGGGTTCTGGTGCAGCTCCTACTATAGGCACCTGTTCCACCACTTGGGGTTGAGGTTGCTGATTTCTATTTACATTTCCAGCTCCACTTCGGTTTCTTGCCATTATAATCTATATACCGAATAAGGCGAATTTAGGTCTTTATCCTTGTTAGACATGTCAATTCCCTTATCACTCTGAAACGTTTACATGTTAGTTCTAATCTCGTAATCATACGTTTAGAATCCTACACACATAAGGTTTCCAGATCCGGTCGGCAACAGACCATAGATCCGAACAAATAATGGCATATATGGAAAACATATAACATTTAGCACATAAGGGCATTTTAGGCATCTTTCCTAAAATAAACTAGTGCTCGTGTCTAAAATATGGTAGACACTCATCTCACAATCATCACTTAGCATTCTAAGTTTAAGTCTAGAAATCCTACAAATTCCTAATTCGCTTAAACTAATGCTCTGATACCAACTGTGACATCCCCTAATTTCTCGGCCAGAAAAGACCGATTTAATTTATGCTCTTTGAAATAAAATCAGAGAAATCTTTTTAAAAGATGTTGCGGAATTGGTCCCCAAAAACAAAACATGATAAAGTTTGTCAAAACCTTTCTTTAAGAAATATAACTCCTTTTTATATCAAACCTCGGGATGTCATGTTCCGATACAGATCAAAAGCATAAACAAGACATTATAAACCTTACAACAGTCATTTATAACTACTACTGGCCTATAATCCAAAATCACTCATCATCATCATCCGACTATGCTCGGGGTCCACTACCTGTAATATAAAAAGCTGAGTGGGTCAGGCTTGGAAGTCTGGTGAGCATATAGGGTTTTCAACCCATAATACATAATTTATTATGCTTAAACATCAATCAATCAACCAAATTACCCTAATTACCCATTCCCGTTATCCTCACCTTACGTCCCTAAAACAACTATTACGGGACCTAGCCTAAGGATTTTCATTAGGGTGACAACTTTGCTTTGGGGTTCCTCAGCAATTATGCCAAATAAGGCAACCAATATGGTGACAACACTGCTTTCCTCAGCAATTTATGTCAAACAAGACAACCTAACACAAAACGACCAATAAGGTGACAACATTGCTTTCTTCAGCAATTTATGTCAAATAAGGCAAACACCGGGTGACAACATTGCTTTTCCCTCAGCAATTTATGTCAAATAAAACAACCAATAATAGGTGACAACATTGCTTTCTTCAGCAATTTATGTCAAATAAGACCACCTGACATAAACAATCAGTATGGTGACAACATTGCTTTCACCTCAGCAATTTATGTCATAAAACAAACACCTGGATGACAACATTGATTTCCCTCAACAATTTATGTCAAATAAAACAAACAACAACCGGGGTGACAACATTGTTTTCCTTCAACAATTTATGTCAAATAGGCACGAAGTCACATCGTCGTCGCCAAGGTTTATACAACAAGCACTAAGTCCATAGCTGCCAACATACTAATCTGTAGCTACCAACGTACATCTATACTGTACTAAATTCATAGCTACCAACGTACATCTATACTGTAGTTCTATCCCTCATACTTTATCTACCCATGTTTTACCCAACATATTTGAAGATAAATATATATACATTTTAAAATCATTTTAAACATGTATAAAACATTCATTCACACCCCATCTCGAATAAACAAACAACATATAACACATAGCACGTATTTTATATAAAATACTTCATATCTATGTGTAAGATGAAAGTAACTACACACTCACCTGATTTAATGAAAATCGGGCAGCAATTCGTTTCCTAAAACCATCGTTTCTAATAAAACCGGGAGTTTTATTGAGAAACCGGGCTCTGCGAGGTCGGGCTTCGAAACCGAAAAGATAAATTTTCCGGGCTTCACGGTCACTTCGTGGCGTATTCCGGGGTGTATAATCGATACCGGGGCTTCGGGGGATTGTGAAAATAGCCAAATATTGAAAAAGTGGCCAAAATTGCCATTTCCAAAAGTACCCCCAAGAAATCTCGCACCTTCTATATGTAGGCCCGAGTTCGGACCCGAAGCAGCGAGAAGCAGACCGCGTCGCAGTCTGCGAGGTTCGGAGGCTAAGGCGGTGCGAGGCTCGGACCAGCCGAGCTTCGGATTGGTCAGCAGCCTCGGTTCGGACAGATGCTCGCTTCGGATTGGCCTCCTCCTCGGGTCGAATCAAAAGCCTACACGCGGGTCGGATCACGTGGGTTGCATGCGAGGATCACGTGGCTTCTTCGGACACCTGTGCGACACGCGTCGCTTCTCGGACATGACACGTGGCCAGCTCCGAGCGAGGGTGACGTGGCAATCACTATTCATGCGATTTTTTCTCGAAAATTGTGCCAAATATTGTAAAATCCATAACTTTCTCATACGAGCTCCGTTTTGGACGTTCTTTATATGCACGCGTAGAGAAAATTATGATCTACAACTTTCGTTTAGACTTCGTCGGAAAATTTGGACTTTATTTTTATATTATTATTTTTAACAGACCGGGACAGGAAATCCGTTAAAAATTCGTAACTTCTTCATCCGACGTCCGTTTTCGTCATACTTTTTACCGTTGTGCTACTAATGACTAGACCTTCAATTCTCGTTTAGGTCATGTCGGCTAAAAATCACTTGATCTAAAATTCGAGTTTTAGCTGTCTACTGCTAAGCTGAAACTTCGAAAAATCATAACTTCCTCATACGAAGTCAGATTTGGGCGTTCTTTTTATCGAACTTCTCGGTTTAGCGAATACTACGTGTTTCATTTAGATCACTAAGGCTAAAAAATAGTTTATCAAAAACTCACTTTTTACGACATTCGGCACCGTGCCGGTTTGTCGAGAAACTTCGACATGTCATAACTTCTTCGTTATAACTCGGATTTCGGCATTCTTTATATATCCGTAATCCTTGTCACGACTACTAAAACTTTCTCAATAAATATCGGCTTTATCTAATATTTATTTTCGACGCTCATTTTTAATCTTAATTAATTAAATCCTAATAATTAAGCGTAAAACACATAAAACACATAATTTTCACATAATTCCTTTTCATTTCTCCAAAATGAGTCACAAAGGTTAACCTAGATTATCATGTCAATATTAATGCCTAGCCTAGAAACACGGGCATTACAGTTTACAAGTTCATAATGGGGTAATGCCAAAAATAACATGCATGCTCCCATGAAAGCTTAAAGTCTAGATTTTAAGAATCAAAAGCATGAAAAATTGAATTATAAATAAGGACAAAAAAGTAAAACCTCAATAGCACGTTGATGAATCAAGAACATAGAAATTGCATTAGAAAATATTGATTCTCGTGTTAAAATTGATTATTTAACTATAAAAGCAAACAGGCATATATCAATAAATGCATGTATAACTGAATTGTTTTAAATATATATTTCGTATGAGATTGCGATATACTAATATTTAATAAAAGTTTGTGCATCTTACGACCAGAATTTTTTAATCGCACGTTGATGAATCAAGAACATAGAAATTGAATTAGAAATAACATGCATGCTCGCTGTTGATGAATACAGAAAAATAAGAACAAAAAAATAAAATTGATACCTATTGATGTTGTTGCTGTTGATCACAATTGCTACTCTCTTGTTTTTTATCGCGACTGGAACTCTAGCTGCTTCGTCCGGGGGGGGGGGGGGGGGGGGGGGGGGGGGGGGGGGGGGGGGTGGGGGGGGGGGGGGGGGTTATCGGAGGGAGAGGATGAAATCAAACCTCGATCGCAACTGTGGTAGGGCAACGTCGATTTTTGTTTTTTTTTCTCGGTCCATCAAATAAAATGCAAGGACCGAGTTAGGTGTTTTTTATGGACCGAGTCCACATATTGAACCGCGTCCATACATCTATAATCCCTATCAAACATGTCAATTGATATTAATGTAACATTTTTCCTACTATGCAATTTTCTCTTTTATTTAAATTAATTTAACATTTTCCCTACTATGGAATTTTCCTATGATGTTTTAAATTTAATTGAAATCCAATATTTTAATTTCTTTATTCTTTTTATTGAAAATGAAGGTGTAATGTGGTGGGCATATCTAGTTCAATATGGTGTGATTGTGATGATAAGTTAGCGTTTAGGTAGCAACATTTTCCAAAACCAAATTATAAAATTTAAATCAAACCGGTCCAAAACTGTTTGGGGAAAACCAAATTCAAACCGGATCAGATCATTGTCAAATCGCAAATGACATCATCTAAATCAGATCCAATCTATAGTTTTCCACATCTACGTCTAGAGGGTGCTATGACACATAAAGATGGATGAAAAGTATTGGTTATAGCTATATTATTTGTTGGTGTTGGTTGCATAAGGCCGTCCGGTATACCGGCAACGAAAATGTCTGTTGTCGACGTGGTCACAGACCACGACCGTGCACACTATCCCGCCAATTCGTGGTGGCTCGTGGTCGTGGTGATTTGTGGTGACAAGCACGGAGGCGGACAACCAATCCGTTTTTTCTTCACTCTTAGGCATCTCTCTCTCTCTCTCTTTCTCTCTCTCTTCCGGTCGTCGCATGTACCCCGATGTGGGTTCGTGGCTCGTGGTGTCTAACGTGGAGAGTATTACTGGTAGTGTAAAAAGATTCACTTTCATTATGACATCTAGAGTGTTAGTTTTTTTTTTTTAATCTTAATAACTCTTGTAACCAATCTCATATGTATTCAAATGTTTCGTAGAAGCTTGCGACGATTGATTGTTATAGACGATGCCCACCTCAAGGGAAATAGTTAGAAACTAGGAGTAGGTTCCGAGTGGGAAGTGAAAACAGTATCATATTTCCCAACCCGACCTGTCCCCATAAACTTTATAAACAAGCATGTTTTTCGATAATTGGTCGACTAAAATGGAAGAATATCAAAAGTTGACCATCAATATCAATTCCACAAAAATTCCTAAAACATGAATAGGATAAAAGTAGGTTGTTACTTGTTATTCACAAAGCTTGCTCTAGTCAAATGTTAGAAGAATATCAATACTTGACTTTTGATGCCCACCCATTTAAAGTTCTACTTCTACCTCCCCCCTAATCCCATACTTAAGAGTTTAGAATGAAGATGGATACACAAGTGAGAACCATGAACAGAATGCCCGACCGTTAACAAAAAGCCTCAACCAGTAGTCGTCTCCAACCACCATAAGAATAATGTGGTGCGCAGCTATAGCCATAGCAACAATTGCAATACCCATGGCTTTCCTTGCAAGCTTCTCCATCTTTTTCCAGAATGTGGGTCCCACAGTCATTCCAGCAACCAATACAGCCATGGAGATATACAGAGCTACCAAGTCTGCATGGAGAAACACCCAATCACCAGCTGTCTTCCCAATGTTTGCAAGTCCTCCTGGAAACCATAAAAGACATATCACACTGTTGTACACCATGCCTCCAGCTATCATCGCCAAAGTATTCTGATTATCCATCCTGCTAATTAAACCATTCAACCATTATTAGTTCCCATATCTAAACCAAACATCATGTAACTTGGTGTTAGATGAAATGTAAACATAAATGACAAGTCAACAAAATTCAACTTTGATCCAACAAAGAAAAGATTCGTGACACTGTGATTAAATAATTTCATGAATCAAAGTTTCTGTAAATGTGGTAAGTGTAGATGAATTTGAAATTTCAACAAACATCAGTGCACTATGTGCTCCTAAAGTCCCACAACAATACAATCAATTTTCAACAAACTGGACACAAAAACTCACAATTCCCAAACGTCAGTATGGAATTAGAAGGATGAAATTGTACCTGATGATGCCCAAAAACTTTGTTGTAATCCAATGCGATCCTCAAGTGAGACTCAAACCTGCAAGAATTGAAAAGAAATGTAGGATTAAAACGTTAATCTAACAACGGATTTCAAAGAGTAAACCGGGGAATTGTTTTTCGGGATTTTTGTAGCAGAGAAGGGAACACACAGACACAGAGAGAGGTTTCAGTTGGTGGTGGTGATGGTGGTGGGACTGACTGATAGAAAGCATCTGGTGTTCTCCGGGCGAGAAAGAGGGAGAGGGAGGGTTCGCACAGGAAGGCGGAATAGATGAGATTTTCAGCAAGTAGGGTTGTGGATGGCCAAACGGTGGGAGTTGGGATTTGGTTTTGTGAACCGGTGGTGGTATAGCTTGCCGGCGGCGGTGTAGGGATTGTGGTGAGAGATATGGAGTGAGACTGATGGTTGTGTTTAGGGTTTTACGGTGGTAGTGGTTTGTGGGTATCAGCGGCGCGTTGGGGCTGTGATGGTTCAGGTTAACAGCAAAAGGGTAAAGGGTTAGGGGGAAAAGAGAGAGTGGCGGCGGACGGCGGTGGGTGGTCTTACCGGTAACAGAAGAGGAGAAGAAGGTTCGAGAAGGAGTGGGAGAGATGAAGACGAGAGTATACGTACCTTCAAAAACCTTGCCTATAATATACTGTTGTAGCAAAAGAGGGAGAAAGAATGGCAGTTTTGTAGTGAAGATTGAAGAAGGAGAATTGTTATTTTCTGGAATTAATGTACGGAAATAGCAAAAAAATTATATATATACAATTTCTTCTGCCTTTTTTTTTCTCTTCGAAATCATTCGTTGATACTTCTTTTTAAAATCCATCTTCTCGGTTATTAAACTTGGGTTATTTGGAATTGTTGTAAGTAACTTACTCCAAAATTAAATCGATAATAAACTTATCTATAACCTAGTTGATAATAAACTTATCTATAACCTAGTTATCTCAATAGAAGTTCAGGATCAAAAATCAAGACCCTGTGTACTTATAATTTTATACATCGTGTGTTAAGTTGTTTTAGATCAGCATTTGGGGACCATGATATTTGTTTTTAGAAGGTAAAAGGTATGCTATTGTCAACTAAAAAAATTCAGACACATAAAATAATAATTATTAACATAGAAAACGTAATTCTACTTCTTAACGATCCTAAATGACTGAAAAAACATCATATGTTAGTGAAGCAATGTGTTTTGATTGTTGGTCTAGTCCAACCCTACCATGAAAATTTTGGTATGTTACAACATCAAAAGCAAGTACGTCTAATTACCAAAATCATTATTTCTAATGACATCATCATTGATACCATCATCACACTTTAAATCAGAATGAAAATCACCAAAGATTTTTGCATATGCATTTAGTTTGTCACGAAATTTAGGAAGATGATAGTCGGCTCGACAAGGAGATATCATAGGAACATTTATGAATAGCTATCGCCAAATTGACAATTGGAATTCATATAACCCTATTTGCATGTTTCTCGACCTTTTCCCAGAATCTGGGTTCCACCCTCCTTCAAACAATCAATAAAACCATAGAGAATATGGGTTCCACCCTCCTTCAAACAATCAATAAAACCATAGTTTGTCATGAGATTTAGGCAGGTGGGTGTTGGCTCGACGAGGACATAACATAGGATCATTTATGAATAGCTATCGCCACATAGACAATTGGAATACGTATAACCTTATTTGCATGCTTCTCGACCTTTTCCCAGGGTTCCACACTCTTTCCAACAATCAATACAACCATGGAGTCTGTATGAATGAACAACTGATCACCATTACCCTTGCCAATGTTTGTGTTATATCTATAGTTTCCAAAGGCTTGTGGGAGAACCAAAATGAATCTCAACAATGTTCCCAACAAATAGATCGACATCATCAATACCTTCTAGCAAACCACAAAAGGTAGGACAATTTGGTTTATCATTCGTATATTAGTTTGTACAGGTATCGTCTACCATATGTAGGTCAAATGAAACAATAAGATACTTAAGAATAAGGGAAGACCTTAAGAGTTCGAGACTCTTGAGCCTGATTCATGGGCCCTCCCTAAATGTTGCTAAGGTCAGACGGTATCGTATGCGGGAAGGCCGTGGGAAGAGTCCCGCAGTGCGGAACACCGCACCGTCGGTGCGGGGAAGGGGGCGCGGGGAGGAGGGTGGGGGTGGGGATGCCGCGTTCTCACTCCTCTTCCTATTGGTTGTTTAATTTTTTTTTTCTTTTTTTTTTCCTTTTTTGATTCAACGACTATATAACCGTTAATATATATATATATATATATATAATATATATATATATATATATATATAATTTTTTTATTCTTTTATCACACTATAAATACCACAACATCCAACCATTTTTTTAACTCATACCTTCTTATTCTCTCCAAAAAATATTAATCCAAATGTCATCATCTTCATTATCCGATTCGACGGCTCTAGAGGAGGCTAAGTTTATCGGTTCCGTCATGGCGAAAACGGTTGCATACTTTCAAAACCGACTAAGCGAAACATCACGTGCACGATCTAAACCAAGAAAGTCGCGGTTGCATAGAAAGCGCGAAGCCGGATACGATCGTCTTATAGAAGATTACTGTGCAGATGACGTCATCTACGCTGTAAAGTTTCGACGTCGATTCCGGATGAGGAAGGAACTATTCTTACGTATTGTTGGCGATTTGGAAGGTCGCTTACCATATTTCCAATGGAAAATGGATGCGAGACAGATAAAAGGTTTCTCTCCAATTCAAAAATGCACGGCTGCAATTCGTCAGTTAGCATACGGCATGGGCGCAGACAGATGAGACGAGTATTTTAGGATGTCAGAGCGTACCGTGCGGGAGTGTGTGTACAAGTTCTGCAAAGCGATCTGTTTGGTTTATGGGCAACGATATTTGCAGAAACCAACTATGAACGATATCCACCAATTGTACACGGTGCATGAAGGCAAGCATGGATTCCCTGGAATGCTTGGTAGTATCGATTGCATGCATTGGGGTTGGTCATTATGCCCCAACGCATGGCGTGGTCAGTACATGAGAGGCGACCACAAAGAGCCGACGATCGTTCTAGAGGCTATCGCATCACATGATCTTTGGATATGGCATGCATTCTTTGGTCCAGTTGGTGCAAATAATGACATCAATGTGCTAGACCAGTCGCTGGTATTCAACGATATCTACCTTGGAAAGTCGCACGATGTACCTTTTCAAGCAAATAGGATAGCATATAAGTGTGGATACTATCTTACTGACGGTATATATCATTCCTTTTCTGTTTTTGTGAAATCGTTTGCATGTCCTAACGACCCGAAAAGGAAAAAGTTTAAAGATGCACAAGAGTCAGCTAGGAAGGATGTGGAGCGAACATTTGGTGTACTTAAGAGACGTTGGCAAGTACTAGCAGTCGGGGCAAGATCATATGAAGTGAAAAGGTTACAACACGTAATGTATGCATGTATCATATTGCATAATATGATTCTTGAAGACGAAGGAAGAACGATATGTCAGTACAACGAAAATGAATTTTTGCCAAATGTCGAAGGAGTAGCCGTTGGTACACAAGAGTATAGGGCGAATAGAAGAGAAGTACACAATCACGACATTCATCACGCCCTTCGTGCTGATTTGGTGGAGCACATTTATAAGGCTCATATTCAGCCCCCGATAGAGTTTTCTCACGATGATTTGTTTGACGAATCAGACGAGGATTCTGATATGTTCGTCGAGAGCGAAGATTCCGATGATGAAAGTGACGTTCGGGAGAATGATGAAGACGATGAGGTCGATGACGAGGATGATGATTCTGAGTGACGTATTTTGGTTTTTTTAAAATTAGGATTCTATGTTGTGGTTTGTTTGATTTTTTGTTTGCGTTTTTTTTTTTTTTTTTTTAGTTTTCTACTTATTTAAATATTAGGTTTAATGTAAATTTTATTTTAATTAATGAAATGCTTTTTATTTTTAATTAAATTTTATGTTTATTATTAATTTAAAAATTATAAATCATAAAAAAGAATTAATTTTATTTAAAAAAAAAACAAAATAGTGAGGGAAGCTTCCCACCCATTCCTTGGGTTTGGGTGAGGGAAAGGAAAGTGAGAGAAATGGTGGTGTGACCCACAAAAAGTGAGGTAAACTCCCCACCCATACCCTCCGGTCTAAGGTCATTTGCTACCTCCTTCAAAAGAATGAAGATATCACTATTGAGCACTCATCTCGACTTTCCATCCAAAGATTTGTTTCTTCCCTCGTCTCTGTGTTATGTGTTGTTTGTGTTGCTTATGTTTCTTTAAATTTATGTTCTCTTTATGAGCTTGTTTGGCCTCGTTTTTTTGTTGTTTTATGTAGTTGATTTTGCTGATGGGTATTTTACTTTTCATAACAAATTTAGTCCTAGAAAACTATTTAACATATGGGTATTTTACTTTTCATAGGTGGGGGGATCCAATAGTTATTGTATTAATTTTTTTCTATTACTAAAATTTAATAGAGAAGCCGTCTTCCATTATAAGAGATGATGAGATGAAATTTTTTATAAATCGGGTTATATGAATATCCTGAATTTTTCTAAAACTCACGTTGGACTAGTTAAGGGACTTTTTAATACTTTCACATATTTGGGCCTTTATAATATTTTAAGCGTTTCTAATCCTTCCACGTTGGACTACTGAATATAAATATCACGTCTCTTTTTAAATAGATTGTGGTACGAAACTAAACTAAATTCCAAACATACGGTAGTACAAATATGACTTAATTAAATCACACTAAGATAACATTTCATTTAGTATAATCCCAAACGAAGCTTGAACAATATAAAACATGAAATATTTAAGTAATTACAAATTGATTGAAACACAAGAGCAGGAACCAAGCACAGTTTATAAAAATATATAAACCATGAAATATTAATACGATTTTTATATGACACCAAGAAAAAAATATCAATGTTAGTTATAGAAAATGAGTGCTTAAAATTACTTTTGTTTTTTAAATTAGAAATTCAAGTATATCTAAAACTATCCAACCCAACCCAAAACCCAAAGAGTAATTCAGTTTGGGTATCCATTATTTTTCCAAACAAAGAGTAACCGATTAACCCGGCCCAAAAAAAGAAAAAAAAAACAAACAAACAAACAAACACCTCTATCTATATAATATAATAGGAAGTAGATTTGTAACTTACTCGTACTTTTACTAATAAATTTTATCCTTGAATAAAATAAATTACTTTTTAAAGTATGAATATTTTATATAATATAGAAAAATAAAATAACGTTTTTGTCGAGATTTAAACACAATTTTATACATTGAAAAATATTTGCCAATTACAAATTAGATTAGGTTAAAAACAATTACAAGGTAAATAGGATTTAATGGTAAATATGTTATCAAATGATTAAATAGTTTTCTATGACTAAATTTGAAACTTTTGAATAATATGTTACACGCAGTGACGCAGGCCAATTATCCGTCACCTAGATGCATGGTAGCCATGCACTCAGTCAAATTTAAGAAAAATCCGTTTAAACTGTCAAAATTTAAAGAATATAAAAAAAAAGTCAATAATAACAATAAAAAACAAGATTGATCGGAATCTAATATACTAATATACTAATACCTAATAATAACATGCTTCTCTCTTCTCTCATCTCTCTTCCCTCTCACATCTGTCTCTATCTATATCTCTCTCATCGTATTAGTGTTACATAAATACATGAATATGACCTTTTATGGTTATTTACTTAATATTGATGATATTTTTTTTATAGATAAATTATTTTATAATTTAGGTCCTTGATTAATCCCTATCTAGGCAGATTAGTCCCTATAACCTACTTGACCGATTGACTAGTACAACCTTGATTAACGAAGTCATGTACCACACATTCTCACAACCAATATGAAGAAGTAAAATCATTGTGTCTTGACAAAAATATACTATCAACAGAAAACAACAATTAATAATACTTTCCACTCTTGTTAAAAACTTGTGTTGACAAAAATATTGTTATCCATGATTTTAGTTGACTAAAATGGAAGCAAATCAAAAACTGAATGTCATTTCCAGCAACAAGTAGGTTGTGAATTATTCACACAATTTGGTCTAGTCAAATGTTCAAACTTCAAACAAAAAACTCAATAGCAATAGTAGAAGAACATTAAACATACCTCTTAATCATCATCAATCATACTTGATTCTTTACTGCAGACAATCCACCCTTCTCTACTTGGTCTGTTTTACCTCTTTTGACCACATCCAGAAGCTTACATGCATGAAAACCATTCCCAATGCTTGTCCAGAAAACAGCAAACCTCATCCAATAGGGTTTGTCACTTACCACCATAACACATATTTGATGAACTGCTATCAACTCAATGATTGCTTTTACACGTGTTGCCTTGTTTGCATGCTCCTCAAGCTTTTTCCAGGTTGTGGGTCCCACACTCATTTCAACAATCTTAACAGCCATGGAGATATATTGGGAAGTTAGGGCAGGTATGATGAACAACAAGAACTCATTAGTCATGCGAATGTTTGCAAGTCCTGATAGATCGCACTTATGTAAAATATGAATCCAGGGGTCATCGCAGTAGTTCCCATCCTGGTTTAAGAATTGAAGTTTCAACTGTTACTTCCATGAAAATCTGAGTGAAGCATAAAAGATAGTAAGACACTAATCAGGAACACAAAAGATGATGACATAGAAGAAGCTGCTGCCTTGAAAGATGAGTCATAAATGGTGAAACTGAGAATGATTGATCTATGTGGACAAAGTTATTCCATATCTGTGCAGATGTTAGTAAAACCCTAAATGTGAGCAGTACTCTGTTGCAGATTGAAGGAAATTGAGATCTGATTTTATAAAATCAACAAACAGATAACTAAACATGTACGCCTAAATAGCAATTCATTGTTCAGCACATCAATGATAGAGAAACGACAACAGGAAACAAGAAGATCGAATTGAAACAAGGAACGATGTAATGTGTATAATGTGATCTGTACTCTGTAGCAGAACAGATGAAATTGAGGTCCGATTTTATGAAATCAACAAACATGTAATTAAACATTCAAACATAGAAATCAATTCACCGTTCAGCACATATTTGAAAGAGAAACAAAAACATGAAACGAGAAGATCGAATTGAAAAAAGGAATGATGTGATGTGAATAATAATAATAATAATACCTGGTAAGCTGATGAGTGAATACCTCTTGTGGAGGAGTAGGCGATGGACGATTACAGCAGATACGGTGCCTGCAAACCTTCAAAGTGTGCAACAAGTGAACAACGATATCTGAAGAGTGAAGATGAAAGAAGAGAGAATTATGTTGCCAGGTTTCTACATCGTGTTCATGTTCGCAGCATTTTCATGGAAAATAAAGAACATAAAGATGGAAGTGACGATTCCATACCTATTCGATAGCGACGAGAGCAGAGAGAGACGATGCCGACTGTGTGTTCGCGGTGAAGCTTCTTCTTACTGACCCGTAGGGGTACGGCGGTTTTTTCCGGGTTTACCGTTAAACCATAAACATAATATGAACAAGAATTAAAATCAAGAAGAGTAAACTTACAAGGAAGGTTACGAGGGGAGAAGCAACCGAATTGTAGCAGCTTTTTTTTTTTTTATGTATAAGGGATATAATATGAAGTGTTTGAAAGAACTAGGAACATAAGAGATAGGCTAAGAGAATCGGAAAGAAAGTATTTAGAGAGACATGAGAGAATTAATAACAACAAAAATTTTATTCGTATGAGATTTCGATGATTTTTACAATCGTTTACAACCCTTTAAATAGGCAAAGGGTAGCGTAAGAATTACAATTCAATAGACAGACACTTGAAAATACATAAAGTAGAAAATGACTTGCACACCTACATAAAGTAGAAAACGATTGCACACCTACATAAAATAGAAAATAATGATTCTAAACGACAACTCTAATAATTCTATATAACAATTATAATTTCATAAATTGCCCTTGAACTTGTCATGTCTTGTCTTATTTTCACAAATGGCCCTTAAATTTGCTCAAACTTATCACTTTGTACCTTTTGCTAAAAAATCATCACTTGCTAAAAGTCTCGATGAGTACTGTCAATAGAAATCGGTGATCCTGGTTCTGTGTCAATCTGTTCTTCACTGTTCATGATATCTTCTAGTCTCAATAGTGTATCTCCTTCACCGCTGAATGGCAAGAGCATATGCCAATTTTGATGAGACCAAATTTGTAAGTAGTGTCCTTCTGCTAGGAGTTTATAATTTTCCCAACGAAAATTTGCAGGTAGTGAAGGTGTTTTTTGAGCTGTGCATATATCTTCATTTGAAAGATTCTGTAGAATTCCAAAATCTATTTCTTGTTTGCATGATAACTTTTTAAGATAGCCATGTTGTACTGTTCTTTGGGTGATGAAGATCCTTTTTCTAGCAGGTCTGTATGTATGTTCATCCGCTGCTGGAAAAGAAGAAAAAATTTGCACCCAATAATTGGACTGATGCTGTGAGAGGCGATGTTTCCGGCTGTTAAAATAAAATTTTCTCCTAATTTATTAAGAAGATTTTTTGTGCTGCTATTGAGGCAGAATTCTAAGTAATCTATCATTCCATTGTGATAAAAGTTAATTATCTGTTCTTCTGGCATGTCTGTAGTTTTTAGGTTTATCTGTAACAGGAGTATGGGAGTCTCTTCACCTTCATCATTCAATCTTTGGATTACTGTAACTCCTTTATAATTGATTTCTTGAAAAGCAATCTGTACAATCTTCTGCTGTAATTCATATAGAATTGCTGGAAATTCTATACAAATTTTTTGAGACACCATTTGCTCAAATTCTTTAAACTGATCAAGTACTGGTCTCAACGTTTGTCTCCAAGGGAGATCCAAAATGCGAGCTTTAAAACATTCATAGTTTCTGTATATTGCTGTTTTTAATTTTTCATCTTTTTTCTCATTTCTTTGTATAAGCTGTACATTTTTTGCTTCAAGAATTTTTATTTTTTGTTTCAAAATATTATTTTCAATCTGGCTTTGTATATACCGTGTATCTTTTCCAGATTGCATAAGTTGTTGTTGTAACTTAGCAATAATTTCTTCTTGAGCTTTAATCATTTGCTCTGCACTAGTTTTTGCTATTTCTGAAAATGTTTTCACCTGTTCGGGTTCTATGAAAAAACTGTTTAACCCAAAATGTTCTCGAGCAATATTCATAGCTTCCTGGAAGCTACAACATCCCTTGTAAAGGGGATTTTGACACTCTATATATTTTATGACTGTTGCCCAATTATTAAAAATCCCAACTTTAGTGCCCCTGATGATAACATAATGCGTAAACTTCTTTATTTGTTTTTCAGGGGTCAGTGATGACTGTTTATGAAAGTAAAAACTTAAAGCATTGAGGATTTGAACTTTGAATGATGAAGCCTGTGGAACTGTCTGAATATGCCATAAGTTGTCTAGCAAACATTGTTGGTCTTCTGTCAAGTTTACTCCAATCATGGGCCTAAACTTTTTACGTTCATCGAAGCAAATTGGTAAAGTGCAGTTACCAAATGCTATAACGACTTCTCTGTTCTATGTATATTGTGTATTTTTTGAAGGTCCTGTCCAATAATATGCATGTTGAGTATTTTGAGATTGTGGTCTAGATCCTTGCAAGAGGTTATTATGTGTAGCACTTGCTATTTCCATATATTGTGTGGGTTTATGTAGATATTCTGTTTTTATTGCTGAATCCAATAATTTTTCTGTTGATGTTGTGTTTCTATCTTCTTCTGAAGAAATGCTCATGGAAGAGGAACTTTTGCTGTGTAGGCTGTATTAATTTGTTCTTTCCTTTGTTTCGACTATCCATCTGCAGAAAATAATCTGTTAATATTTCTGGATAGCATATCAGCTATTCCATTATTTTCTCCCTTTATGTGTTCAAAATTTATTTTATATCCACTTCCTTGTATTGTATTTTGTAAATTAATCCATCGTGTTCTATTTATTTTCTTACTTTGATCATTTTTAATAAAACGAACTATAGCTTCACAATCTGTTCTAACTGTAAATTCTTTATGTAAAAATATCTTAAATTTTTCTAAAGCATTTATTAAAGCTTGTATTTCGTAGTCTATAGAAGTCCAGTTCATTCCTGTCTTATTAAAGCTTCCACTAGCATATGAGCATATTTTTTCTGTATCTTTTGGGCTATATTTATCGGGTTTACAAAGGAGAACGGCTCCCCATCCTTCTTTGCATCCATCAACTTCTATTATTATGTAATCAGTAACTAATGGTAATTCTAATGATTTAATATTTTTAACTGCTTCTTTAATTACTTTAACTAATTTAATGTCTTCTTGGTTGAAATGTCTTTGTCCATTTTTTGTTGTTTTACTATATAATGGTCCTACTAACTTTGAAAGATTAGGAATAAACTTTCGTGCATAATTAACCAATTCTAAAAAGCTTGTATCTGTTTTAGACTTTCAAACTTTTCTGGGAATTCTAAAATTTTTGTCGATATATGACTTTGTAATTCAATTTTTCCATTTCCTATTTCTAAACCAAGAAATGATATTTTTCTTCTAAACAATTCCATTTTTCTTTTAGAAATAACAATACCATTCTTTTTTATTTCTTCAAATATTTTCTGTAAATGCTTCTCATGTTCCTGTACTGTTTCACTGGCAACCAAAATATCATCAATATATACTAAGCAAAAATCATATTTTAGAAAATACTGTCCATAAACCTTTGAAATATAGATGGAGCATTTTTAAGCCCAAAGCTTAAAACATTCCATTCATATTGTCCTTCAGAACATGTAAATGTTGTCCATGGTTTAAAGTGTTCTTCAAGCTGTAACTGATTATATCCAGATTTTAAATCAAATTTGCTAAAAACCTTTTTCTTTTGTATCAAGTTTATTAAAGAGTCTTTATTAGGGATATTGTAACCATCATCTTCTGTATTATCATTTAGTCTTTTATAATTATAAACTATTCGAGCTTTTCCTCTTTTTATTTCAGAATGATTTCTTACTATAAAAGCTGCTGACCTATGTGGACTTTCCGATTTTCTAATTAATCTCTGTTCTATCATTTCTGGTATTTGTTTTTTAAATTCTTCTTTATCTAAAGGACTATATTCTATATTTGCTGTTCTTATTGTAATATCAGGATTTTTTAATTTAAATTTAAAAATATAGTTAACTTTTGATTTTGTAATATCTTCTCATATGAGTCCAATTTTCTCTAAGTGTAAAATTATAGGATGATTCATATTTTTTGGTTATATCTTTCTCTTTTTTCTAACGCATGTGTTAAAAATTCTGTTAATAGCTTAATTGTTTCATTTTCAACATTTGTCTTGATTTGATTATGTTTTAAAAAGTCTAGTTTACCTTGTCCACCACGCTTTTGCGCAAACTCTGATGTATTGGTATATTTAAGTGTTGGAAAACTATATATATGTTTACTAAGTGTGATAAAATTACGTGTTAATGTGATAGCGCCATTTAAGGCAAAAATAAAATTTAATCCGAGAATAAAATCATTAGATTTTACATATTCTGGATTGATATTAACATGTGGGATATCATATTTCATACTATAGTTGCCTGCAAAGTCTAAAAATTGAATACCTGTTGGTTCTAAGTAATGTGTGATAGTTATTAATCTGTGTTCGATTGTTCTTGTCATTAGTTTATATGATAACTCTTTATGATATGGTTTTGGTGCTAGATAATAAGATATACACTCTTAGTTGCTCCTGTATCTACTAATGCTGTTAAATCTAAAAATTTATTATTATCTAACCATAATCTACATTGTAGGTTTATCATGTTGGGTGATCCATCAGTTTGTATTAATGTAGGTTCATTTGTTATTTGAGACATTTGGTTTATTTCATTTACTTCGTTTTCCTCAATATTGATCTTTTTCTTTTTATCTAACACATCTTCTAAAATACTTACTTTATTTTCTAAAGTTTGTATTTTTAATTTATGTAATTCGGCTATTATTTCTAATTTTTCTATCTTTTCCGATTGTAATCCGATTTTTACTCCTTTATTTTCTTTTTCTGTTTTTTCTTTATTTATTTCTAAATTATATAACTTTTTAAGGCATATGTAACAGATTTCTGTAAAACATATATTACATTGTGATCTTTTTTCTATACTAGGGTAATATCCACAATTATAACATTTTATATAGTTATTTCCTCGTTTATTTATCCAATTATGTTGACATTCTTCTTGTTCTGTATTTACGTATGTATATGTTATTTTGGTTAAATGTTTATCATTATCACTATCACTATATATACTGTATATTGATTCATTATCAGAATTATCAGAATTTAGAGGTTCTATATTATATTCTCCTATTTGTTCTATTAAATTGCTTTTTTCTATATTCTTATTTTTATTTGGGCATTTATTAGCTAAATGTTTAACATCACCACAGATAAAACATTTACAATTTCTTGTTTGTGGCCTTTTTACATATTTATTTTTATAGTATGGTTTATTCCCTTTTTATATGATGTGCTTTTTCGTAGTTTCTTTTTTTTTCATAGTGTCCATATGCTTGAGGTGTATAAATTGCTGATTTACAAAAGGCATAAGCATTTTTCTTTAATTGTTCTTGTAAAGCTACTTCTTTACACTTATCTTCTAATATAGCGAATGTATATGTGATCCTAGGTCCTATTCCTAGGTTTTTCTGTTCTCCATATTGTTGTTTCCATGTTTCATGTATATATCTTCCTAAATCTCCTGGAAGTTTTATAAAATATTTATCACATAAATTATCATCCATTGCTTGCCCAGTTTGTGATAATAATCTAGTAAAATCTAATGTGAATTCATTAATATATTTCATATCTGCTATACTTAATTGTTCAAGATTTCTAATAGCTGTATCTTGTATTAATGTATTATTTTTTGCAGGATCTACCCCTAAAGTTAATGTTCTTATTTGACTAGTAAAATTATATGGGTTATCACCTAAGGCTTTTAATTTATTAATTTCATCTGGATCTTGTGCTTTTTTACTTTGCCAAATACCCAAAGCTATTGGACCTAATGTTGTTTCTAAATAAGCAAACATGTCAATACTATCTTTTTTATTAGTTTCCCACATTCTAACAACTACTTGTTCCCATGACAAAATTTCATCCATCCAAAGTTGTGGTTTTTGTTTTTCTAATAATAACATGCTTCCACTATATATATTTCCAATTGGTAATCGGCTACCTTTTCCTTTATAACTAGATTCTCCGTTATATGTAACTGTTGGTTGTGACCATATTTCTCGTCCTATACTATCTTCTGTACTAGTGCCTGGTTCACTCCATTCCATTTTAGGTCTTTTTCTGATATTTGTCATATATGTATCATTATTCATAAAGCCTTGTTCTTTTTTATAAAAATCTGATAACATAGTTTTTCCTTGAGATATATTTTCTACTAATGGTAAATTATAGTATTCCTGTAATTTATTATAACTTTCTTCGTATGTTAATCCTAAATCTGTTATGCATTCTATAATCATATCATCTACCTCGTCTTGTATATTTAATTCTGTAAATTTTCTATTGATAATATGTTCAATAGTTTTATTAATTTCTTCTGTTTTAAAACTTGTATATGTTTCTTCTTCTATATATCTATAATACTTAAATCATAATCTATATGTTCTTCTTTTTCAAATTCGCTAAATCCTAATTTCATCGGTTCACTTTCTTTTTCATTATCTGTATCATATATTGGTTCAGTATCGTATTCTATATTCATAAAGCTATACTCTGTATTTTCCTCCTCGTCACTTTGTTTTACTGTTTCTTTTTTAAAGTTTATAAATCTAAGACTTTGTATACCATCACTTCCTTCATATATATAACTTTTCTTTGGAATTAAAACTTCATCTTCTTCTTCTTTTAAATCATTTAATGACCATTCTAATCCTGCTAAATCTTCTGGATCTATTTTTATAGGATCTATCATTTTTATGGATTTTGATGCTATTGTATTTACTATACCTTCTATATTAACTTTATATTTCATTCCTGATCTATTACTTGCTTTTCCTAAAACTCCTATACTTATTATTATGTTGTTACCTTCATAATTTTCATATCCTTTAGTTTGTAATGTTATTTTAATATTATGTAAATCTTTTATATCTTTTAATATTCTAGGTGTACAATAAAATAGTGTAGTATTTTGACTCAAGTCTACTTCCATTCCTGAGATTATTGCCTTTTTTAAATCTGTTTTCCATGATTTATCTAATAATAATGCTAATATTTTTGTTCCTAAATTTTTTCTTCCTAAAGCTTTTATTCCTATAATAACTAATCCTAGATGTACGAAATGTTTCTTTGACTGTTTTATCTTTTGTATTGTTTCTGCATAAAATAGGTCTATTGTTACTGTATTATCTACTACCCTTAAACTTTCTTCTCTACTACTTCGTATTAATACTGTATTAACATTTAACATT